AACTTAAGGTCTATATGAAGAGATCAGTAGTGGAAGGTCCCAGTCAGGTTTATATCACAGATTACTTTATCCAGAAAAGTCAGGGACTTTTCAAACTATATTTGCCCTGCTTTGATTTGCACCTGTGGATGCTTGTGTAATGTTTCCTAAAATACTCTCCAGAATCTAAGTTCTTTTTTTCTACTGAGGCAATAGAAAAAGATCCCACTGCTGTTACTGGAAGCTTGGCTGCATCTCTATGTTTCATAGACATACCGCAACCCAGAAGTACTAGTAAAGACAGTTTATGGTAGCAGCCAGGATCCATGACAAACTTTTTAAGTACATCCTAAATTGAGGTGTACGATCACATACAACAGAAAGCTGCCACTATATATATGTGAGTCAGTATAATCTGCTTTAGCGCAGACACGTGCACCATATTCTGCCAAGTCATAATGAGAGCCTTTGGTTTTGTCTCTTCCTTATGTCTGCAGCTCCCATTAATTTATCCTGTTAGTCACCTGTAACAATTAAAAGTAGACTGAATCACTAAAATGAAGATTTCCATTACTTTGCAGAACGTTTATATAGATTTGAAATATTTACTGTGATCATGTTTAAGTGTTCTTGTCATCTACCCAAGTATGTTTGAATCCTGCTTGGGTATGTTTGAATACCCAACTGTTTAAATCCTGCTAAATTTTTTGCTGTGAACATTTCTTCTGGTGGTGAAACTTGCAGTCTAGTTCTGTGCAGAATGAAAATAGTTTATCAGTTTAAAATTTGCCTTCTTTCAATCACAACAAATTTTCTCTTTTACTATGAAAAAACCCCAATGGCTATTTCTAGTATTCTAATGGCTATATATTCTAATATATAGCCATTCCCTAGTATATACTTTGGTCATGTCCCATTTTATACATCTCCTCTGTAAGACACATTCCTAATCTTTTTAGTTTTTCTTCATGTAAGCCATTTCTCATGCCCCTGATGATTCTCGTGACTTACTTCACTGGATCAACAATATACTTCACAGGCCAACTAAAGTGAAGGCCACACTGCTGTAACTGTACCTTGTTTTTTAGGCTGTGTTGAGTGCAAAAAAAAAAAATTTAACAGGGATTTTCAGTGAGTGCTTCACAGTGGCTATAGTACCATGCTCTTGGCAACCATACTTGAATTCATGGTCTCACAGCCGTGTGGTTCAAGGCAACTCCCCTCCTTGCACAGACTGAAGCTTCCCTTTCTGGGCTGACTTCTGGGTCAACTGCAGATCAGGATCAGTCTGAGAGCCAGTAGGGATGCAGCAGGATGAAAGAGGAATTGGGGATCGAGCCCAATGTGTTTTGGGTAGTAGAGACATAGCTAAAGTCACTGAAATATTTTATTCTTTACTGTAAGTTTAAATACTTGTGAGGAACACAGATGTACTGGACTTGGAAGTGCTAGGTTTATAGTTGGACTCGATAATCTTAAAAGTCTTTTCCAACCCAAAGGATTCTATAATTCTATGTTAAACCATCCAAACTGGCAACTTTTCCAGAGCCACTTGCCATTATGTTACCATTTGCCATCAGTTGATATTTAACTCGGATACTCTTGAAATTGCATAAGGTGCTGACTAACATAAATCACAAACTCACATGTGAAACTTGTTCTGCAGACTGATGCATTCTCAAAGAAAAAGTATATTTAATAAGCTCATTCATACTGTGGAAAATTAGAGACGCTTGCTATTTACCATGTGTACAAAATGATCATTTATTAATGCTCTTTGTTTTCTGACTCCTAAATCAGCTTCTGTTCTAGATGGCGTAATTTTAAACAAAACAGACATTTATTGGTTATGGTTCTTTTGATCTAGTGAGATAATTTATCGGCTGGAGAAGCGCTTAGTGACATTGATGATATCTGTATTTTAAAACCCACACTGCATAGTGTGGTATAACATCTGGAATTACATTGGGTTTTTTTCCCAGAGCAGGTCTTGCTTAACTTTGGTTTTAAAGGAAACAATAGTGAAATAGACTGAGTGATATTTAACTAAGGACTTTAAAACTACAAAAAGATGGGTAACTTTAAGAAGAAATAACATAATTCAAAAGGCTGCTTATCTAAAATAAATTATTAAATATTTTATTAGTTTTTACTGTTAAAAAATTATTAGTAGCACTGGGGCTGGGAGTGCCCAGCAGACTGCTGAAAAAACCCACGAATACCAGTAATGCTGCCACCTGGATTGAGACTGGTGGTCTTATTTCTCTTCTTTATGCACACACCTTAAAGTAATATATAATCTCAGTGTGCAGGAAGGAAATAACACTTGTAGTGTTTACCAGAAGTGACCTGGTTAGTCATTCCCTAGTCAGAAATGAAGAAACCAGATGGACAAGGTTCTCTAATCATGCTTTAATTGCTGCTGAAGGAATAATGTTTAGTTATAGACTGATTTGCTATCAGATGAGTATCTTTCCTGAGCCTTGCATTCACTTACAAATAGCACTAACTAAGGCATAGCTAGGACTTAAGGACTAAGGCTTACTGTTTCTTGAATACCTTTCCCTAAAACATTTACACAGCTCTTAAGAGTTAAGGAGAGGCATGGAATGATCACAGTGTATTTGTGACTCTTTGAAGATACTGCTGTAATACGAAATAATTGTGCTTCTGTAGGAAAATGTTGTTCTTGGTGTTTTTTTGTTTTTTTTCTTTCCCTGAGTCTTCATGTGATATAACCTAATAAACTTTAAATGAAGAAAACCAGCAGCCTTCCAAGTTCCCTGTTAATGCCATGGAAAGACTACATAGTGTATAACCTTCTACACTGGCCTTAGATCATCTTTATATTTTTACAACTATTGTTTATTTTTGAAATCTTGAAAACAATGTTAAATTTTACTATCAAGTAAATAAAATGTGAGTCATATCTGTGGAGGCCACAGTCACTGAAAATCAACAGCAGTAACAATAAAAGTAAACATAAAATTCAAACATGAAAAAATTATTTGTTAAGCAGCTAATGATTTGTGTAAAAAGCACAAATAGCAAAGATAAAAGAAACATCTTTGAAATAGGATGGTCAGGTGTGAAATGAGAAGACACTATTTGAAAGAAACAAACGAGTTAAATGTACATGGTTGAAGATTTAATGGTGTTTGTAACATGTGAAAAATGGGATGTAAGTAATTTTGGAGGCTGGAAAGAGTGCCATTTCCAAAGTAAAGCTGCTGGAGGCAGACTGGCAGGAGGGCTGTAGTGCTACTGTGTCTAAAGGTACTTCATTAAAGGCTCAGGTAGCACGTTCAGAATCAGATTTTGAATTTAGAAGTGTGTCATACTGGCCATATAATATTAAATCATAATGCATGACAGCAATTCTTCACTTTTGTATCTTTGACCCATATCAAGAGACCGGGACAGATACAGATCAACATGACTTCTGTCAAACCTCTGCTGCAGAGAACATTAGTGTCACTAAAGGTCAGCAGGACATCAAATGGGTATCAATCTTAGCACCATATGAAAGATATAAGTTTGTGCAGCTACATCTGCTGTTCTGTACAAGTCAGTCAGAAATATGCAAATAACGTAAGGAAACAATCTGCACATTTGCATATAATTTGTATATGAATACAACCTTTGGCTTAACACACCCTGCCTCTGGTGGTGGCCAGGAAGGATGTGGAGTTACAGATAGTGACAGTTTTGGCATATGGGCTAGGATGAGACAATAGTTAGGTGGCAGTTACAAACCCACGGTATGTGTGTTTGTAGGGATGTGTGGCTATGTGGTGGGTGATCAGAGGACACCTAACGCGTGCAGGTGGCTGGAGGAGGCTGCATTTCTGGCATGGTCAAGACTGGGTAAAAAGATGGTAAATTAAGTATTAAAGGTCTTGAAAATGGAGACATCAGACTTGAGAAATACTATTGTGAGTCTGCCTGTTGGCTCCTGAGAATAAGGTGAATGCAGGTATCTGAGGAACAACTGGGCTGGATGGTGCAGAGGCAGCTGAGTCTGTTAGCAGGGAACACTGGTAGAGCCTGTGAACTGGGATCTCTCTCTGCCACCAAAGTTTACGTAGTCTTCTCTGCTTGCCCAGCAAGAGGAGTGGCTGTAAGGATGTTCCTTGATTACCTCATCCCTTGGCACTGCAACAGCACTTGTAGCCTGAAACTGTTTCAGATAGTGCCTGAAGTAATGTGCCAATGAAGTCAAATGAAGATCTCCATGGAGCCCACTGGTTTGATGTTTTGCTGCTTAACATTGTCAATGGCGATGCCAGTTACTCAGTGTTTTATCTACAGCCATCTCAATTAATCATGGCTAGTAGTCAAGTCACTGGATTGTTATGGCTAGCAGTCACCAACAAGCCACACCGATTTGAGCTGTTTCACCTCCAGAGTTGAAAAAAAAAACCAACCAACTCCAAAACCCATCTAGTTAATTCTAAAGCCTTGCAGACTGCTCCTGCAATGGCGCACAAATACAGAATTTTCGGAGTGTGTTTCAACAAGCATACCCTCAGTGAACTTTGGCCAACCTGAAATGCTGTGCTGACATCAATGGTGCAACTGTCTTGAATCATCTTAAATACACTTGCTTACGTATGTTGCAGCAGTTCATCACATTCTAACTTTGAGGTGTGTCAAGGCTGCGTCCGACTGCAGGATCAGACCCGCGGCAGATTCGATAGAGGGGTGACCAGGGGGCAGGTGCGACATGCAGGCCCTAAACCAGGCCGGGCCTTAGCACGACGCCACCGGACTGCGCCGCGGCTGCCCCTCCATCGCAGACTCAGCGGACGCCGCAGGCTGGCTACCTGGGCCGCGCCGCGGTGACGGACGCAGAGCCCGCGGTGGCCGCCTCAGCCAAGCCAGGCTGAACCATGGGCGCCCAGCGCCCACAGCTGATGTAAAACCCCAACACAGGGGCAGAATAAGAACAACCCAAAACAGGCGTCCCGCCTCGCCCCGCGACACCGGCAAGGCAGGCACCGCGCATGCGCAATAGCGCGACGACGTATTCTGTGCGCCTGCGCAGAGGTGTTTCGCGAGGCCCGCCGAGCACCGACATGGCGCCCTAGATGTGTCGTGCCATCGCCTCCGCGGGCTAGCCAGGCGGCCGCAACAACTATCATGTCCCGGCACAGGAACGTCCGAGGTTATAACTACGACGAAGGTAGTGGCGAACAGAAGCCGGTGGCAGAGCTGCGGGTGAACCGCTCTAGCCGCCGGTCCCTTCGCGCTTTCTCTATCTCTTGCCTGCATCCTTTTCTCCGGGGGGCCTTTCCACCCCGCCGGGTGTGCGGCAGTGCCTGTGGGTGTGACGGGGCCCAAAAGAATGGAGGGGAGGATGTGGGGGGGCTGTTAAGGGCGGTGGGAGGGGAGAGGCATCTCCTCCTCTCCGCGGGGGTTGGATGAGGCTCCGTGCGAGGCCTCGCCCCAGCTTTTCTTTCTCTTCCCCCTCCCCGTTTCCCGCCTGAGCGGTGCGCTTCCGCTGCCCTTCGGGGGCCGCATCTTGCTGCCGGGGCTCCGGGAGCTCCCAGGCGGGGGGAAAGCGCGGCTTTGGCGCGCAGATCGAGCCGCGGTGGGGGTTACCTGCATTGCCTCAAGCTGATGAAGTTGGCCGCTTTTACAGTCGTCAATGTAATTGAACCCGTCCTTCTTCAGTCTTGTGAAACTTAAAAGTTTGTATTACCAGTCTGACTGCAGCAAATTGTTGCTGGTGTTCAGCCACAGTAATAGATCAGAAGCAACGGCTGTTACCTGTAGAATAAATGTAGTTGTAAAAAGTGGCGTTGAGCATCTCAGGATGAAGCTGTTTTTCAGATGCTTTGCTGTCATCCGAACTTGAATGGAATGAATGTGGTTTTATGTAAAATCTTGGCTGATACCTGCAGTACTGCAGCTTTCTCTGTGTCTTCTCCGTTAACTTCAACAGACTGTAAATGGCATCCCTTTTTCTCAGAGGTTTTGTTTGTGTTGGCTTTGGGTTGTGGAAAAATGGGCACACTTCCAGTTGATACTGGTATTTTAAAGAACTCTGGTATGTGAGCAGCTGTTTTGTTGCCTCACGTCAGATTATATAAAAAACTGCAATAAATACTTGTGTCTGCCTTTGGTCTATTGCTGTTGAGTGGACAGTTGTATTGTAGTAGCACAAATTGGGTTTTGCATCATGATCGTGGAGTTTTTTTGGGAAGTCATGTAAATCCGTGCGAGCCATGACATCTGTGTGGCCTATCTTGCAGGTTTTACTAGTGCAATTTTACCTAATATAGGCAAAATCTTATTGGAGATGTTGCTGCTTGATTCTTTCATCCTTTAGATATTGTTTTCATCACAAATTGATGAAAATCTTGATTTCATCTGAATCTCTGTCATCTGTGAAGTTGCATGCCCAGTCATTAGAACCTCATTTAATGAGGTTGCTGAGATACATAGTAATTTGCTTTAGCCAAATGAGGCTTAAATTGCTATTTGAAAACTTTACTGTTGCATTACGTATCATGTTTAATTGGAAGTGTGTATAGGTGTGGCCTTTATACATAGACCTTATACTACTTTTGTAGTCACATACGATCATTTCTGTCCCAAATGAAGTACACTTTTTTTTTTCTTTTTTTTTTTTTTTAACTTAGTATAATGCCACAAGTTCTTCTTATACCTCTTACAATTCTGTAATACTTCTTCTGGCCCAATTATTTACTTGCTTTCGAAAATAAATATTTGCAGTACTTTTTTGTCTTCTTTCATAGGAAGCCTTTAAGGCCTAAAACTTTGTGGCCTTTATTTGACTGTATTTCTGCCCTCTCCTTTTGAAGTATTGTGATCAGAATTGAATGTTGATATTCCATTTGAGAGTATGTTGTTGATACAGCTGTTGCTAGTGTGGAATGCTTCTGCAGCTTCTGATCTGTTCTCTGTAAATGCTGTCATTTTTTAATAATTATTTTTGTGGTCAATGCAAGCCAAGCCATTTTCATGGAGGTGTGTCTTTTTCTTATTCTAGAAATTAAACCAATGTGGGATATACAAATGATGAGATAATGCACACTCACAAGACTTCGCTTGATTTCGCTAGCTGTGGATATTAGCCATTCACACAAGTCATCTTGGAATTCCCCTTGACAGTCTCCAAGTACTCGCCAATCTATAAAAAGTGCTCTTACCTTGAAAAAAATGTATAGCTCTTCTCTGGACTTTATAGATTAATTGGCCCTAGCATGGAACCAGGAGACATGGTCTGTGTCTGAGACATACTGTGTCCTTTTAAACATGATCAAAAGATAGATAACAAGTCTTCTTTTTAAGACAAACAATCAAAATAAGCCTTTATTTTCTTTATCTTGTGATACTTAATTTCCAAAGTAGCTTCCTGCATCTTTCACCAGACTTTCATACACTTGTGCCAGCCTTTCTAGCTACTGCCTTTGGTTGGCATTATTTTGAAAATTAGTTAATTATGGAGTTAGGTTTACTTTGAGATAAATTAATGCCCAAAATACCAAGCCTTTTATAGATGGATATAGAGTGTTTGTAATGTCCTGGGTTTGTAAGTTGGTAGCAGAGTGCAGATATTTTTTCTTAGCTGCTAGCTGCTTTTTTTCCTCTGACTTTTTTAAACCAACCAACAATGTATGTTATTTGTGAAACTGGCAAGTGTATACAATAACATCTTTAAAAATAGTTCATTACTTTTTTCATATATTTTGTTATTACTTGACAAAAATTATAAATTTCAAGATTTATGGGATACTAGGATTGTTTGAGGGGGATAGCTTGCTGTTTCTTTGTGTTTCCTGATAACTGATTCCTTATACCTTTTTTTTTTTTTAATAGGGAAAGTATATGGCTATATTTAAGTAACTATAAGAATCTTGCTTATTGGCTGAAATGGTTTTACATATTCAAAGAGAGTTGTGAATTGTGTTTTTGTTTAGCTGAACTTGAGTTGAAAGGTAGATAGCTGTGATGATAGACCAGAGAAGAAAGCTGAGAGTAGAAATGTTGATCCTGAGTTGTTAGAGTAGATTGTAATTGAGCTATATGTGGTTAAGACTGACTTGACTGCTTGAGAGGTCAAGCGAAAATGTCAAGGGAAGTGCCATGGATAAAGATGTGGGGGACTGTAGAAACGTGTTTGGACTGTAAGGGCAGCCTCCCAAAGGACATGCTGCAGGAGGAGGTGGGAAGTATGGCACCTCTTGAAACTTTTCAGTTTTCCTAATGCATAAAATGTTGAATGTTAAAATTCTATTATTGTAACTTTGAATCTCTTAGCTAGGTAAGTAAACAGTACTTAATGGCTCTTCTGGAATACTGGTGATAACATAATTTCTTAAAACCTTGTGTAAAAACCGTGCTTAGAATTATAATATTAAGTATTTAGAAATTGTGCAAACTAACCTTACTTTTCTGCTTCATATAGATTTTGAAGATGATGATGTGTATGGCCAATCAGTAGAAGATGATTATGGCATTTCTCCTTCAACAGGTTAGTTCAGATGATTACATATAAACATTGTCCATTGATTCTTACTCTGATTTTTATTTCCAGAATAAAACAGTATTTAAAAGCTGGTGAAATTTTTTGGAAGAGACTAGCTGCCATAATCCTGTTAAAGTCAGTTAGTGCTAGGTACTGTTGTAATTTTGGAAGTCACATTAGACAACTGGGCACATCTTCAGTCGTACAACTGTATTATCTTGGATGGTCAGAAGGTAATGTAAAGATCTGGTTTATTGGAATGTGTTGATAGTCTTGAAACATTTGTATCTTTTAAAATTATTAGTAGGATGTAGCTGCGTTGAAGAGTTATGGTTCTGCACCTGGTAGTTGATGTCTTACGCAACGGAGACTTTTTGGATAATTGGATGGTCAATGTAGTTGGTAATGTAAAGACCTGGTTTATTGAAATGTGTTGATAGTCTTGAAACACTTGTATATTTTAAAATTATTAGTAGGATCTGGCTGTGTTTAAGAGTTACGATTCTGCACCTGGTAGTTGATGTCTTTTACACAATGGAGTCTTTTTGGATTATTGGATGCAGCACTAGCCCTCATGCAAGATCATGTGAAGCTAATAAGCCTTCCAGCATTTGAAGTGTTGCAGAATAGGTGTAAAAATAGAGATGCTGTGTGCTCAGGTAAGATGTAATTGGAGTGGCTCAACCCAGCTGAATTCTGACTACAGCCATTAGGTTGTGTTATCCAGCCGAATCCTTGGCAAGGTTATCCCTTAAGAGTTCCGGTAGATTTGGTGGCAGTGTTTATAGATCTCAGTAGGCCCTGAAAATACTGTGGCTGATGTTGTGAAGCTGTACTACTGCAGGTGAGTTGGCTGGATCTAAATCCACTGAGACCGTGATGTAGTCTGTGACTAGGCCACAGCTACTTATGTTAATTAGGTTTTCAAAAATCAGTTCCTCAGTCATCCTATTGATTTTTAGATAAGCAAGTCTAGGTGTGTATTTTTTTATTATTTGTCGTAACATTCCCCAAAAGATTGTCTTGCATTCAAATTCTAAATTTAATTGCTAGGGGTTTTCAGATATTTTCTAAGTATTATGTTAGCCTTGTTTTTGTGGTGAAAATGTGCAGTGTATTTACTTTTTACTCAAGGATAAACTGCTAAATTGCAAAATTATTTCTTGTTTGTGCACAGTAATTTTCCTAAGAATTCTTTTTTACTTATTCTTTATTTATGAATTAATCTGATGTAGATTGTATGGCAATCTTTTAATAGTTTCTTCAGTTATGGAGATTGAATATGAAATTGCATGTGTGTGGGAAACAGTTGCTAAGGCTGTACTGCTTCTGAATATACATATGCTTTCAGTATGTATTTCAGAGCTGGGGAGAATATTACATATCATAAAGAAATTTGTTTACATTATACTTTGTACAGTTCTGAGGGTATGTAATAACTGGGGCTCATGTGCAGCAAGAAGTTTACCTATATATGCCTTAATGTGTTGCTAAATCATAATGAAATCATGCATGCGTTTAAAGTTTTGTGTGAATATACATTTTAAGTCGTGGGCTTTATTTATAATGAAATTCCAAGAAGAGAAGAATATGTTTGGCTCCATTAAATTGTTACTGTAGTTTCACAATGCTGTGCTGTAAAAGCAATGTTATTTTCAGGCGCCTTTTTTTTTTTTTTTTTTTTACTTGTAACTGAGGTAGAAAAAAATAGTTGTGGAGGAGAGTTCTCAAGATGTGTGGGCGCAGGTGGTAATTTGCTATAGGAAATACCATTTTTCAAACCTGGAGTACTTTAACTTGCTGGAATACTGAACTTTGCGGAATTGTTGCATTACATGCATACAAGGATATTGTCTAGCCTGTGGTTTCACTGTGATAATTACTTGCTTATATTCTGTCATGAACTGCTGTATGCTCTGTGCATTCTATCAGGTAGTGGTCATACAGTAGTGTCCCTTTCCTCCCCCAAAAAACACTGCAAAAGATCAGCACCCTAATTTTTTTGTCCTTTTAGATATGATTTGTTTTTAAGGGAAGAAAAAATATTTGACTTTTAAAATACTTTGTTTTTTACCTAATGCAGCAGCTCAGTTTATTTACTCCAGACGAGACAAACCAGCAACATTTGCTGAGCCATTAGAAGAAGAATATGGCTGTGAAGGTACAGATGATACTGCTGATTATTTTACATCCAATCATCAACTGACTGAAGTTGATAGAGGTAATTATAGAAAATAAGTAATTGTCAGAACAATGTCTTTTGTGAATTCAGGACTAACTAAAAATAGTCTTAATTTAAATATTTGTTACTTGACTGACGCTACTCACAATTTTATAATCCTGTAGAATAACACTCTTCATGAGCATAGCTTTAGTGCCGATTATTCGAGTTCACAACTACTTTTTGTATGCTCCTTGTAACTTAGTTGCATACATTGAAACATGTTCCTAGTTGGAAATAATGGGAATTGACATGAAAACCGGAGATAAGAACAGCTGTACTGGCTCAGGCCAGGCATCCATGTAGTTCAAGGTCTTGACTCTGCAAATGATGCTTAGGGAAGAGTGTTAGCGTATCTGTAGAATAATCAGTTCTTGTGTTGCATTCCAAATTATAGCGATTAGCAGTATTTGAGATGTTTTTGAAGTCATGAATTTCTTTGAAACAGTAGCCAATATCTGTATCATCTATAATCTTTTCTTACCTGGTTTTGAATTTATTAGACTTTTGTTTCCATTCAGTTCTGCAGCCATAAACTGTACATAATAAGCAAGAGTTCTGATCTGTGGTGTTGAATTCCCTTAGCAAAGTTCTTTAAACAACCCTATCTTTGAGGAGGTGTTCAAATAAAAAAATCTGCAGTTGGCTTCCTGTTCTTCAGTTCCTGTTTTCTAAAATCTGAACTGGCAGGAACTGTAATATTCAGGAATATTATCTTCTCTTGTGTTTGTATATCTGACCAGCACACTACTTTCAGCGAGTGTCAGCTTGGTTAATTTTCAGTCTCTTGTGCAGCAAGTCAAGATTTACAAAACTTACCTTAGTCAAGGCTTATACTAGCTGCAGAAATATGCTCCACAGAAAATTTATTTTATCAGCCAAAAATGTATTACAGTTGTTGGAAAGGTAAAGACTGTAGATGGTTTCAGACCTGATGTGTTGTTCCGGAGTTTTTAGTTGTTGAGGCCTGGGGCCTGTCAAACTGCGTTTTTTCTTTAGGTGTTCATTATAGCATCCGTAAACCCTTAAAATGTGCTGTTCATTGGGATTCCGTGTTGACTTCCTGAATTACTTTGGATAACTTTGAGGTGATTATTTGTATTTGTGTAGTCAAAATAGCTAATTTTACAACATCAAAATATGTCAATATTGAGACTTCATATAGTAATAAGTAGTAGTCAGTGAAATGTTCCATATAGCAATATCTGAAATTAGTCAAATATTCTGCAGGGCTTGGGGGCAAAGTTTATTATGGCAGTAAGTGAGATTGAAATTAATTTCTAAAGGTTTTGTCTTTTACTGTGATAATTTTCTCCCATTTTTGTTTATCAATGTGTGGTGCTAGTGGTTAGGTCACTTAAGACTTTTTTTTTTTTTATTTGTGTGTGCAGCTTATAACAGTAATATGTCTCTTTTAGCTCGTCTTAATTCATGCCTTGATCAAATGAGAGAAGTTTTGGCACAGTCTGTACCAGAACAAACAATGGTGCAAGCAGTACTGGATAGTAAATTTGATGTACAGAAGGCTTTGGATCTTGTGCTTTCACAAGGCAGCAAGCAACATGTGAAGACCAAGAATGAGGACACTTTGATTGTAGGAAAGAAGACAAAAGGTATACTTCTATTTAATTGCTTGCATTCAAGATGATTCATTTCTATGTACAGTTTCATTTTGGCTTACAAGCTCTGAGGGTGTGTGTTACTGTATCAGTCATTTATTAGAAAAATTAAAAAGACCAATTTACTCTCCTGTTCCTGTGTTCTAAAAACATGTAAAAGAAACAGTATCTCTTCTTGAGTTAGAAGGCAGAATTACACCTTAGCATCAGCTTAAATTCAAACTGCAACCATCTGTAGTTCACAGTGAATTTCTGATTTATAATATATGACTTAACTGAATTAATACATGTCCTGCATGTTGGACAATGTCTTCAAGATTTATGTACTTCTGTTACTTGTTTGTGAACTGACATACCCAATACTTTCCTTTTTTTTGCTAGTGCTTTGCAGTAACTTATTTTGATTTATGCTTAAACCTTTGTCATCTTTATTGTCATTGTTTGCTGATTCTTAAAATTTCTTAGATACCTGTATTTATGTCAGTAGATACCTATAGTTTAATTGTAGAACATTGCATATATTTGAGTAACAGTTAGTAATTAAATGCCTTTTCATGTTTCTTCTTGATTTCTTTTTTGTTGCTGCTGACAACGGTAAAAAACAATGGATATTTCAATGTGACTGCATTTCCATCTGAAAATTATTGGCTATTGTAAGGTAAGGAGACTTACTTTGTTGTCCAAAAATGTGTATGGATACAGACATTTTTTTTTGTGCAGTAGAAAATGTTGCCAACAACACCAACAAACCTGGTTTTGGAAACTTGGCAGCCAGAAGTGGTTCAACTTGTTGCTCTTTAATTACAAATGACAAAATGCTGCTTAATGCTGAAAAATCCAATATAACTTCACCTGAAAAGAAGGGATTGAAATCCTCTTCACTTGTTCTTTCATCTTCTTTCAGTGATGATTTGTGTAAAGGATCATTTTGTGAACCTGTGAATAAACAGGCAGAGAATCAGCTACCAGAAAGTGTTAATACATTAAGTTTGATTCCTGACAGTGAAGATGTTTACTTTAGCATAGGAAGTGACATATCTGGAAATTCTTCCTTTAAGAAGCTGGAATGTAAGGAAGCACAGGACTTGAAATCCTTGCTGATGCAGAATGTGGTTTGTGATTCTGTGAGTCCACCTGTTTCCTCAAATACTTCTGATTGTAAAAGCAGTGCAGGTTTTTACAGTAACCCGTGTTTAACAAATACTTTAGGAAAATTGGTTCTTGATAGTGAAGTCAGTGATAATAGAAAGAATGAACTTTTTGATAATTCTTCTTCAGTTGTGCAAAGCAGAAAACAAGAAGGCTTCTCATCAGACATGGCTGCTTTGCCAGTGTTAAGGTCTGGAAATACATCATTGGCTGACTTACTTCAGGAGCACCAGGAAAGCAGTGCTAGCCACTGTTACTCTTTGGCTGACCTTTATACCCAGTCAACAGCAAATCTCACTGATAGGAAATTGGGAACCTCACCATTATCACAACTAGTAAGTCAACCCCAAACTTCAGGTGGGATGCCAGAGCTAACAGGATCTTTGTCTTCTCTAACCCTCTGTCAAGATTCTCCACTAAAGGAGGTTGCGAATTTGTCACTTTCAGATTTAATAGCAGAGACTATTGAAGTAGATAAAACTCAACAAAGGATGGACTTCTCCATGCTCAATGTTACTGAATTAAGGCCCTCTAAAAGAACCAACATTGATTTAAGTGTCCTTGTAAAAAATGCAGAAGTATCTGCAGAACAAAATGTGGTAGGACAGTCAAATGTCTTAAGCCCTGAAATTAAAGTTTTAAAAGAAAACCAAGGAAAACGTTCTGGCTTTGCCAAAACAAATAAAAAACCCAAAAGAGTTACTCCTAAGGAGCAGGATTTGTCACTTTCCTGGGTGAAGGCATTGCGTGCAAGACCTTCAGCTTTTGCTTTAACCTTGTGTCTTCGTTACCCTCCAAAAGGTTATAAGCGGCACACAGCTGGTGTACATAAAGCTTTCCTGTACAGTAGACAAGTACAAGATGTAAAACCCAAGGAAACTGGTCCTTTGATTGCCATAACACCATTTGACTTCAAATCAGCATCTCCTGATGATATTGTGAAAGCTCACCAAAAAAGAGCTTTTACAAGAGAATACTAAAAAAAAAACAACCCAAACCAAAATCAGTGTTTATATCTTGGCATATTAAAAAAAATCATTTATAATCCACAATTGAGGGTTTTTTTTATTTTTTTTAATTGACATATTACAGTTTTCACTTTTGGTAGCAAATTTGTGTGTAAACTTTGTTGCACTGATTTTTTGTCTAATTTTCACTGACAATGTTTTTAACTTTGGCAGTGTTGAATTTCAGTATATACATATTGCATGTACAAAATTCTATAAACACTGTAAGACTTCTTGAAACATCTTTCTAGGTGTTGATGATGCCGTTCATTGGCAAGAACACTGAATTATTATTTTGTAAAGTAATTTAGTTTTGCTACATGGTGTATAGTTTGGGGAGTGGAAACCTCGTTTTATATTACAACTTTTAGTAAATGTTCTTAAAGTTAGATTTTCTGATAAGGTATGTAACTAAATTGCCAGTCTTTGTAATTGATATTTCCAGTCAATGTAAATATTCTCTTCTATCTGTATTCTTATTACAATATTACAACAGAAATGTGTTTAGTTTTTAAGACTCACTAATCTCAGGTTTTGACAGTTTTAATTGTGGTAGGACATGTACAGCTGTTGATAGGACCAAACTCGTAGGGAAGCAAGCAATTAAAACTGCGCACCTCCCTGCATCAGCTGTCAAGATGTGATATTCAGAATTTTGAACCAGCTGTTTTGTAGGTATATACATGCTGCATGTATTTAATTGGAAGTTTCACTAGGATTCCATGGTTTATTCTCAGTCTTTCAGGAAGGTATTGGAATAAAAATGCTTTCAACTCTAGCATGAGAGTCTTTACTCAGTGGAAAAAAAAAAAAAAAAAAGAAAAGAAAAAGAGGCAAACCATAAGTGCTGTTTGTGTCCGCAACTTGTCTGTTTTGGAGAAAGCTTTCTTCAGTAATGGAAATATATTTTTTTCCTACTGTTTGCACCCATTGCTGTTGTTTTGAATCTTTAGATGGAAGATCAGATCAGGACATTCTGCACTTAATTTTTTTTTTACCCGTTAATTACCAAATTCTGGTGCCCTTGTTTGTCAAATTAGTACCTGCATGTATATTTCAACTTTGCTTTTAGTACACATTACTACTTATTTTAGATTCTGAACAGCAATAAGTGCAATAAATGTAGTGCTGCAACTGCAAAAATACATTTGTTCATATACTGCCATACACTTATTCGTGCTAAACTTGGCAGCTAGTATGGAACAGTAGATAAAATTTTTGTCTAGTTTTAATCTAATTTCTGTTGAGCATGTTACATCAAAAAGAAGACAACAACTTTAGGTTTATTCCTGACTTCAGGTTGCATTACAGTTTAGTTTTTAAATAAAAATAAAACATGTTCCAGTGCTCTCAGGTACATATTGTATGTTTTGTATATTTTGCTTATTTGTCTAGTTGATGTTGTTGTCATTTAGGACTATGAGCAGTGTTGACCTGTGACCTCTTGAATGAAATTAATGTTTCTTACTCTTGCTAATAAAAGTTTTATATAATGACAGTGCTGCAATGTTTATGTTTTAGTAGACATGTTAATCTAGTCATTTCTATTTTGAGTGCCTTAAAGCATTGAAGTGTAAATACAATTCTGTGTATGTACCATGATCTGGTAAATTCATAAGCAGGAGCACAACTGATTCATTTCTTCAGATTTCCTGTACAAGTCTGGCATACTGTTTTTTTATTTATTAGTTTTAATAACAAATTCTGGTTTTTGAACAACATGAAACGCTTTTCAGCAATCAGTTTCTCTGTAGTTAGTCCGGATACTAACTTTCTGCTGCTTGGAAATCCAGGTCTGTTTTTCCCACTGAGGTAAAATGTCTTATTTGGAGAGTTTATTAAAGTTCAGTTTTTCCAAAATGTCTTCTAGTAGAGAAATTCTAATATTTAGAGTAAAATGTTAATGCAGAGTTTGGCATCGTCGTTCCTGGTGTATTTTTAGGTAATTTTGTTTTCTTATGTTCCAGATACTCTTAAGTACCTAATTAATTGTAGGTAGAGATTTTTAATACATGCAGGGTTTTTCCCTCTTAATCTTTTCTTTTACAGTTCTTGAACTTCCCTTTGGTTTGGTCTGTTTTCTCATTCTCCTGGCTGCTCTTCTTTGCATAAAACCTATTAGCATTTTTTATAATTTTAGAACCTGAACTGGACATACATCTAAAAGTATGTCCTCTGGGTTCCACTGCAAAGTATGTACAGGTAGTAGGTGGCAATGTACTTGGACCTCAGTTTTGCCATAGGTTTAATGCATATTGAAGTTCAAACAAGTGACTGAAACCAAAGTGCATCAGCATTTATTGTGGACTTTACTGTGGGATTGATACCTTAGTAAACAACTTTGGATCTTGTTAGGTAGCTAGATTTTAATATTAAAATACTTTTTCATTTGCATTTATTTCCCTGGTTTTGGTCATGAAGAAACAATACATGTTGTTTGGTGTAAAAGCAGTAGGGGAGGGATTTTTCTTCTGTTTGTAACCCTTAATCCTTGAATTAGTACAAACCTGCAGGCTGAATGCTGCAGAAGATGCCTAAGTGGTGGATAAACCTGAATCCCAGTTAACTTTCAGTGGAGATTATTTATTTCCATAATCAGAAAATTTTACAGTTCTGTTTTTATATACCGAAACTTACTATGTCACTTTATTTACTTTTTAATTGAAACTGGTATTTTAATAATTTCCTTAGTTATTCCTTAATTTCCTCACTGAGAAACAGGTTTGTGTCATCATAGGTTTAATTGTCTTATAATGTTGCATAATACTATGTGATAAGGCATTTTTGTGTATCAGGTCTGGCCTTTGCACTGAAATGTTTCTGCCTAATGGATGTTAGAATTCTTGTTTACTAAATCTGCTTATTTTATGCTTAACACAGTGAGCTTATTTTATTGATGTATAACTTCCCCTGCAATTTTGCAGCTACTGTATATCTTTGTGTAATATGGGTTGTGTTATTTGTTTTGGAATTCACACATTAACATTGCAAAGTGTTTGTGTTTGCATATAGACATCACAAAAATGTTAAACTACGTAGACATACTAAATCTGGTATTCAGACTGTATACCCTTACGGTATTTTGTACATTACGTTTATTTTGTGCGTAATTTTTAAGTGGCTGCTGAGTATCTTTAATACAGAATTGACTTCTGGACATTGGTTTATGTACTGAAATAAAATACACATTCTTAAAGGACTGTCTTAGTTATAATTTCTTGTTAACATACCTGATAGGATTGGTACTGAATGTTCTGTAATGTTTGTATCTACTGTGGAAAAAGGCTCCAGTACTTGTCTAGGTTTGCGCAGGTATACTTCTTTCCTGGGAAGATTCCTTTGGAAAAATTAAGGCAAAAAGTGGCATCTACTACTGCGCCTTCAGATACCATATTAAGGTTCCAGTTTCCTTTTGTTTAGAAGTGGGTTTCTCAGTATTTTTTGAGGTGATTTTGATAGCAGGTTTTTGAACCTAATTTGGATTGTAAAAAGGAAATGGCAACTGTCTAAAGTTAGTTCTCAAGCCTTATGATACAGCAGAAATTAGAACTACTGGAACTGATTTCTTAAAATCAGTATTCTTTAACTGTCTCTAAATACCTGTAAATACCTGTTCCATTTTTCTCTCTTAGATTTCCTTTTTCTAGCTGATTTCTGTATGAACTTGTTTTGGAAAACCAGGGCAAATTGAAAGTCGAAGTATGAGAAGAGTAGGAAAATAACAACTCCCATTGGGATATAAATAATGGCTGATGCTTTATACCCTGTGGGATGTGACTAAACATAATTACACTTAGTGTTTTTTTAATTACATGAGAAAAGTATAGAATGTTAGGAGCATGAGCTTCAAATTTAAAAAACCTAGTGGGTTTAAAACTTCGCATACCTGCTTTTCACTTTTTAGTCTTGAAATCTCTCATTGAATTATTCAGACAACTTTCAGGATCTTCAGCTTAGAGGTAGCAAGCTACATGAATTTCTGGAACTGTTGAGCAATAATATTTTAAGATCTTATTTCTAGGAGACTAACTGGTGCAGGAGGGTAGTCTTAGCAGTTTTGTGCTTTGACCTATTTCCTTTAACTGTGTCCTTCAGAGACATTTTTCAATAATCAGCAATTTCTGAAAATTTAAACGTACATAGAAAGTTAAAGAATCAAATGAATAGCTATACAAACTAAAAAATGAGTATCTATACAAAAGATTTGCGTGAAGGTAGGATATAGATTGTCTTTAGAAAATGTATATAGTTTATTACAGTTCCTTTATTTAAGGGCAGCAGTTAATAATTATGCAGACAACCATTCACATCTCTTTCAAATCTAAAGTGCTTAGCTTTTCAAAGTTGTTAAAATGTTTTTTATATTAAACATTGATTATGAATTGTGATTGGGTGGAAAAAACAAAGCAAAATTTCCAGCACACTGTAGTTTATGCAATAAAAATAAACTTCATAAAGTGCTGAAAGGAGATGCTTCTCTGCTTTTTTATTCCTGTGGAAATTGAATTGAATTTTTACAGATAACATACCTATTTTTGGTGTGTGCAAAGTATAGACAGCTGATAAACTCTTAAGCAGATTTTGTGTTGAGTTCACTGTGTCCATACTTGTGTAGACGATGAGAAAATGTCATTAGTCCAAGTTACCTAAACTTTTTTTGAAAACTGGTGTGTTGAGTCTGCACTAGAAAACAATATGATGAAACGAAAATCAAAGCCAGTGGTAATTGATGGATTTATTTCTTGAAGCAAGCTCTCTTCCCAGATTGTTATCTTCAAGCAGTTCTATGGGAATAGGTCTCTCTTTTAGTATTGCTGTACCCTACAGCCAGTTTCTCCTTTGTGTAGACTGTTGAAGTATGAATTTTTACCAAAGTAAGTTTGCGATTTCTGATGATTGTTGAGATTAACAATTCTTATGACATGGTTCATAGGTTTCTGTGTCTGTGTCATCATGAAAGTGTTCTTCATCTGTTTTGTGGACATGGGACTTAAAAATGGTCCATTAGAATCAATTGTCACTGACTCCCGAGTTATATCTGTGGTTTGTTGGCCAGTTAATTGATTTGGGTGCTTAGTGTTGGTAGGGTTCCTTAGAAAATAGCATGTTGCCCTTCTCTACAGTTTTCTGGTGGTAAAATGACCAGAGGTGACTAGAACCATAAAATAGTTGTCTGCAGAGTTGAAAATGATACATTCTGAAAGAGAACTAATGAGCCATTTGTTAAGAATTACAGATTTATAAAGGCATAGTGAAAATTGCCTTACTCATTATAATGAGAATATGGAGATTTTAGAGAAGAGTTGCCTGTGAAGTATCTACTCATCATCATGTCAATGTATGGAGGTAATAACTAATGAAGATGGTTATTATTTTAATACTTTGTTTGGCTGTTTTGGTCTTTTTTGTCCATAAAGTCAAAGAATATATGTGTATATGATTTTATTTTCTTTTATTTTTTTTTTCTTTTCAACTGATGTCAGAAGTTTTTGGCATATATAGAGTTTCTTAGGCATCCTTTGCTTCTGTCTCAGCAGTGGGTATTAGTGGTGTTCAGAGACTGCAATTTGAAATACACTATTACAATAAGTTTGCTTTCATTATAGTCAAGAGGAGTAAGGATTTTTATTTGATGAAATTTAGATAATAGTTATGGGTTCTCTGAGAAAACTTTCTTAAAGTTCAGGTTTCTAGAAAATGTTTATGTAAAAATTGTACCCTCTTTGTCAAAAGGCTCTGCATTCTGTGCGCATTCGTTTCATTTCTGCTTGCTTTTTC